TGATTCCATTTTGTTCGCCCAATTAACATTTTCGCTTTGCATTCGACATTTAYTTAGTGTAGAGAATTTTTACAAATAGCTAAATCAAAGGTGTGTAGCTCCACAATATTTTTGTTTTATTTACCATTTTATTTGTATTTAAATAGTAAAATGTGCATAAATATAGTAAATAGCAGCTATAGTTTGTGATTGCATTAAAGGTTTTTCGAAAAAAGTGAAGTTTGAAGAATTTTTCTTTGTTTAACTTTGAGCCATCAATTGACTGGGGAAAGTTTTTAACAGTAGGCAAGTGAAAAATGTCGGGCGCCGCTGTTAAAATGCTATTTATACAGCCTCGCTGTAAATTCAAGCGCGATTTTAACATGATGTTGCAAACCGCTGTAAATAACATTTATAATGTAAAGCGGTAGCAGTAGCAGATGGTTGTGTTGGCATTTGTTAGTAAAATAATTACTTGTATTGGAAATGTATTAGAAACAAAAAAATTCGTTGAATAGTTTATAAATAATAAAATGTATTACAAAATCGAAGTTTTCTAGTGAATTTTTTTTGTACATACTTTAATACAGTCGACTGCACTTATAAAAATGTGTGTGAATGCAGCTCGTGGAATATTAAGAACTGGAACACTTAGCATTGCATTGAGAATGCATTGTGGAGCGTTGCACATTTCGTGTTGTGTCAATGCCGATGCATCAACTGCTCGTTGTTCGGGTTATTTTCATGCTTGCAGCAAAAATGCTCGTTGCTTTAATGCGATCTCTTTGGTCGTAATTGGAATGTGCTGTGAATGGAGATTTTCCCTTTCACTGTTCGCTTTAACGCTAAAAGTGCTTACGGAGTGCATTCCACTGTAATCCAGTAATACCTTCTGGTATTTACTTATCCTCACACACCACATTAGTACTTATGGTATTTCAATATATGTTATTTGTTTCGTGGGTCATGTGTGTGTAGGTGCAACATATCTCAGTATTTGCTTAAAAGTCGCCATTTCGTTATTGTTTGATTGAATTCGGCGACATGAAGAACTGAAGTTGATGTACATATGCTGTCTCTTATACACATCTAGATGTGTTACATAGATATGTATGTATGTAAGTTTCTTAGCCAACAGCTAACTAAACTTATGTATGTATATCTGTATAGGAAAAAGCACCAGCTGTTCTTACCCATATGAGGGAGCAAACGCTTTAACAGCTAGTCGATAGTGGTTTCTATTGGTACAGCCCAAAATGCTTAACAAATAGATATTATGCTGAAAAARCAGCACTTGACCACAAAAACTTTTAATTTTTGGTGTCACGAGCCGTTGGCAATAAATAGTTATCGATTTGATATCAATCGCGAAAAAAAGTTGACTATATCACTTAAGTTCATTTCTATTGGAGGGTATTTAAAAAACCGGATGAGTCTACTCAATTAGAGAGTTGTCTGTCGTTTTCATGTCCGTTGGTTAAGAAAGATTCAGTGAGTTAATTCGTTAAAATTAGCTTTTTTATGATAAACTAATTCACCCCAAATTTGTACGGCAAAGCTTATTAAAACATAAAATATTTGAAATAAAAAGTAAAAT